TCCTCTTATTTTTCATCTTATTTTAAAAGTCACTGGTTCCTCAGAAAGGTCTTCCTTGATTGCCTATTTAATGTTAACAGTTAAGGCTAAAAAATGTTAAAGGAAGAAAAAGCCATCTTGACTTGAGATAGAGAGCAGGGAATAGATTTATTTATCCAGCAGCCTGAAACAACTAAAATACTGGCAAAATATAAATGAAACAATGTTTTCAGCCACTGGTCATCAGGGAGCAGAGGTAAGTCATCTCTGAAAGAACAGAAACAAACAAGGTGAGTGCCGGGATTGTCCCCAGCTGTGGCCAAGAGAGAGTACCCAGAATACAGTAGCAAGTAGAGTAACCCAGGCAGGGTCTAGGTTTTTTTTATGTAGGGAGCATGGAGTTGAGTGTCCAGGTTGGCACTGTGACAAGTTTGTAGGGCAGAGTACCAGAAGAGAGGGTGCAGCACAAAAGGAAAGAAAATTGCTCTGGCATTCTTGTGAGGATCTCCCCCAAAGCTTCAGCTGAATACTGATCACTGCGTGTGGGAGGAAACTACACGGTGCCAGGGAAAGAACAACTTGAAAGGATTAGAAGGAACAATCCTTGGAATTCACACAGGGCTGGAAATAGTTTGTGTTCCCCTCAGCCAAAGTGGAAAAGCTTCCAAATCCATGGGGTATCAGATAGAGTCCTCAAAATGGGTGTTATTTCAGTAGAGGAAAAAAATTAGTCCTAAGGGTCTTCTGATCCCAAACCACACAGCACACAAGTAAGTGTCCAAAGGAGCAAAACCCAGCCTTACACTGTTTCCAAATAAAAAACTGTCCAAGAAGAAAGCACAGGAATATTTCTAAGAGTACAGAAACACAAAGCATTCAACAGGATAAAATTTACAATGGTTAGCATCTGTTGAAATATAATCAAGCCTACAAAAGGACAGAACTCAGAACACAAAGACAAATTAACCAGAAAGAGACCCAGAAAGGACTCAGTTCATAGAAGGAGCAGAAAAGACAACTAATAGTTACTGCAATTATAACTATATTTATGTTAAGTAGAGAAGTAGAAAAGACAACTTCTTGTGGGAAAAATTAATCTGACACGAACTCTACTGGATGGGCTCAATAGATTAGTTACTATAAAAGGAAGTATGAGTAAACACAAAGACAGCAATGGAAAGTTTGAAAATGAATCAAAAAGACTGGAGAAAAAATAATGCATCAGTGAGCTGCAGGCAACTTCCAGCGGTGTTATGGGGGGTGTGAAGGACATGTGGAGGGATGGCACTCTTACCTGACGGCAGTGATAGTTTCAAAGGTGTACACGTATAAAAACTCATCAAACTGTAAACTTCAGATTCAGTTTGTGGAACTTCAATCACGGCTCAACACAGGTGTAAGAGATCTAAGGTGACACGAACACAGGAGATAGGAGGAGGATGGTGGAAGAGTAGAGAAGACAGATTGAAGAAATGTGTTACTTTTTCAAGCTTCTTGCCTGGGAAGGGAGAGATAAATACCTAGTAACTGTAGAAGTTTATGAAAGTGAAGTTTTAAAAAAAAAAACCTTGAAATTTTACGGGTGTCAGGAATGAAAAAAAAAATGGAATGTGTAACTGGTACCAGTGGAAATAGAGCAAAAAAATTTTTGATAAATCCAATCAAAACAGAAAAGAGAAAAATAAGCCTATAGAAATAGTATGCAGACATTGGAAACAATGACACTTTTATTAAAAAAAAATTTAAAACATCCTGAAGTAGAAATAAGGAATAAACTTAAAGCAAAAATGAGTAAAAAGAAAAAGAAAAATTTTGATCAATAAAACAAGTTCAGAATTTTTAAAATGATCAATAAAGTAAACCAGCAAGAATCAAAAAAAGCCTTGGAAGACATAATCTATATTAGGAGTAAAAAGAGAAGGGCCAATATTAGTATATACATTTTTTTCAAATTACAAGCAAATGCTACATATTTTATATCATTTAAAAAGTCAACTTCATTGAGCTATAATTTACACAAAATAAAAGGCACACATTGAGTGTGTAGTTTGATGAATTTTTGACATATATTGTTTGTAACCACCAACGCTATGATCAAAGTATAAAATACTGCTTAGCTAGAAGGTCTATGGGCCAGGGAGATAGCTCAG